CAATTTTTAAGAAGAAAAGTCACAAGAGCAAATGAAACACAAAGTAAGTAATGAAAAGAGAAAACTCTAAAGATGAGCAGAAACTCTATTGTAACTCTATTTTTAAAGAACTGTGGGCTTGGAAAAGAAATCCAGAAATAGCTGTAACCTACTTTATGAAATCACAAACCTGACATTCTTGTACAGCCAAAGAAAACTCCAAAAACGGACCTTAAAGCAGGTACAATGGGGAAAAAAACTCAACCCATCCTTTTACAAAACCCTAAAGGTGCCATGTTTGAGTCAGTTCACCCTGACTGAAGTAGGAACATCAACAGGAGAGTAACATGGCCAGCGGTGGGTTGAAGGGCATTGCAACTGTCTATATACCAAAGGGAAGAACCTTTCCGTCTCCACGGATGAAGGCTGGGTAAGGCAAAATGGAAATGTATTCAATTGTGAAAGGTGCAAATGTTCACCAAATCCTTGAAGAGTCCCTGAAGTTTGAAACAGATCCATTTTGGACATTAAAAGGAAGTATGGTGAAATCACGACTAGCCAGAATGTTTAAGCTTAGTTAACTGAATTCTCTGTTTAACCAAGAGTTGAAAAGTTTGTTTCAAGGCCTCTCTTACAGGGAACCTAACAGGTTCTTAAATTTAAGAACCAAAGATTATGAACTCTAGTTTTGTACCACTATACAAAATAAGAATCTGATTTCTCTGGATCTAGAGATCAGGATAGAGCTTTCTAGTGTTTGGGTAAAAATAAAGATGAAACAAACTGGAGAAAAGAATAAATGACTGGGAAAATCAACCAATAAAAGATAATAGAAGCATGTTAAAAAAAAGAATAAATGATCAATTAAATACTTCCTCATAATTACAAAGAAGAAAAATGTCCATTCCAAGAAAAAAATATATATCTACAGGAAACAGAAGCAGCAGCAGGACATGAATTGCAAGCAATTTTGTTTGATATAAAAGCAGAGACACAACCTAAATTCCATCCTAACCATGGACCGCTGCACAGCTCCCTAAGAGTCAGCCTCCTTTCTGTGCCCTGAGGCCCACTGACAAACCGGGAGGATCCTTCCTCACTCCATCACCTGTACGTTCAGGGAAAGACTGAAAAGGCCAAAGAAGCAAAAGGTGTTGTCATATCAGAAGATCCAAATGTATGTCAAATTAATTCTAGACCACAGACTTCCTCAAGTAAAGGTTGAACAAAGCTTTTAATTCTTGCTGGTCCAAAGCTATCTAGTCTAAATCAGTGCTCTTGGATTATTTAGTAAACTGAAGACAGACACTTGTACGTGTGTGTGCATGAGAGATTATCACCTGAACACCAAATCTCATTGTACAAAATTGGAGTTATAAGAAGGGCAGGAGAATTGGGCTAAATTATCATTATAAATAGTCTGAGAAGTACCCGTTAATTAAATAATATCTTTTTTGGCATGGTGTCATTTTTCTTTTCTCTGAAAAACCAAATACCAAGCAGAGCTAATTCTATGACATCTTCTGGTTGGTTAGGTGTTTATCAATATTTTTCTATGCAAACTTACATGAAGAAACAAACTTATAATATGATCATTCAGAGTATCATTAAGAATTCATTATGTGAGGTTCCACATTTATGATGATGTATAAAGAAGCAAAAAGTCATCAAAGCAAGAAAATATTAACTAATGAAGTGACCTCAGATTTTAAAAATGTCATCGCTCAAACACTGCTCCCTTTTAACAGGAGTTTTTATCCCTACCCAGTGTCAAAGTCTTTCAGGGAGAATCATAGGCAGACACTGATTAGTAATCTGACAGATATACAATAAAACCTGGCAGGATGAAGAAAGACAGGAACACACAAGAATGAAGAGAAAACTGACAAAGCCTTTTCTGTTTTTTTTAACAACCCTCTTTTTATTTTGAAAGTCATTCACTGACCTAGCCTACAATTTTATAGTAAAAATTGTCCCTCCTCCCCAAAACACTTGATTCTTTCCTCTAAGTAGTAGAAGGTTGCTATTATAACCTAAATTGTGTTAACTATAAAATAAACTTATTTTCATAATTTTAGTTTCATTTTCCCAACTTATAGTCCCAACCTAACCTTTTATATACTATGAAATTTTGATTCCCATTTTAAAAAGTGACCTGTTTCTTATCCTGGGATAATAAGGACTTCTTGAACTAAATAGTGGTCTACCTTAAAATGTAGTTTCAAAATCCACTTTATACAAATCTGTGGATATATATGAATTTAACAGGAAAATAGGACATTATCATAACATTTTAAAGTTCACAGACAGTAATATATATTCTCATAAAAGAGCCCTTAATATCATCAGTGTGAGAATACTTAATTAGCTTGAACTTGGGTCAGACCAAGTTCAGATCCTATTTCAGTTTAACAATGTTTTTACAGAATTATTTTATTATCTCCAAAATGATTTTTAAACTTGGGTTTATAAAAGTGACTCCCATACTATGAAAAGAATACTTTCAGAGGAACTAATAAAAGAGATTAATGAGACCTATGTGACAATAAGGGCAGTATTATCACAAAACTCCATTTTTTATTGTCGTTGGCCTGACTGAAACTTAAGATACACTGATTTAGAATTAAGTGGTTTATATAGGGGTTGAATAGGCATCCTCAACTGTACTAGACTATCTATGTGCACTTCATACTCTTAAAGGGTTGTTCACCACACATAAGCTCCCTTACTTTCCATTAAGCAAAATAACTACTCTGTCAGGAGGAAAAGGGTAAAGGCAGAAAAGAGAGTACAAGATCTCTCAGGCAGAACTGGAGAACTAGGAAAGTGTGCTAGAACAGGGTTGGAACTAAGAAGTTACAAATAATTGGATTTGTCTTCAGATTCTATCACAGAAATGTTTAGGAAGTGTCCCTCTAGAAGTATGTTTAGGCATACCTACAAAGGTGCCCATGTGTAAGGTGGGTGGGTGAGAAGGCTGCATGCCTGTGAGGTATGGTCACTGGTCTGTCCGGCAGAGATGAGGGCAGAGTGGATTCACGTCCTGTCAGTTCAGTAAAAATAAGAGTTGACCGAATGTTTCCTATAATGTCTGGACTACTCATACATTCTCAGAACTGGAGAAGCTTCCTGAAAGCACCCATACCTGATTTAGCTTCACAGCTTTTACAGTACCTAGGCTCAGTGCTCAATGAGTTTCAACAGATACACTATTGACTGCCACTCTGGAGGTATCATAACACAGGTACAAATATATCATTTAACTGAAGCTAAGAATTGATATGCATAGGATAGAGATTGTGAAGCATATGGTACTAAGTTTTTTTTAAAAGCTGGCACACATGGCTTTGACTTATACTCCTTTTCAAAAATTTGATGACAGTTATTATTTTTGGTGGTAACTGATGCTTGACAATGTGTCTTACAAGATGAATGCACAGCCAGAAGTCTTCACACACATGTGAAGGTTATGCTTTGATCTACTGTTGCAACCAGTCTTTTTAGTAGATCACCATTCGTCTCTTGGCCACCTGTGGTTAGCCCAAAGCCAGTGCTCCAAGAGCTCATTTCCAATGGTCTCATAGTGGGTTGACCTGGAGCTATTGCCTCCATCAGACTACAGGTACATCATTTGAAGAGGGGTTTTTATTTTGTTTTGTTTAAAAGAACAAGTTAAGAGCATTTTTTATGGCCTTCCCTTCAAGGCTACTGAGACAATGGCTGCTTAAGTTACCAGCTGAGGAGCGTGCAGCTCTGCATCAGGAGCTCAGCTCATCAGGTTACATCAAACACCACTGACTTTACCCCAGGACTCTGTCAGTGAGCCCTTTTTGTTATTTATGTTTGCTAGGTCTCTAAGGTAAGGGTGATGACATTGTTCACAAATACAGAGGCTGGTGTCTTACAGTATTTAGTCAACGTGTGCTGATGAAGGTAGGCTACGACTGCTCCTGTCATCCTTCCAATTAGACATGAAGATTGATGCTATGCTGGTGCCTCTCGCCCCTTCACCCCTGGAGCACTATTCTACAAATGGCACGTTGTGACTCGGGAGTGGTAAAATCAATGTATCTGATGCCACAATAGGCATTTACATGAATTTATATGAGCAGGAAAGAACAAAAGATGGAGAACCACACATTCGTAAAATAAAGTAGTTTTGTGACACTTTTGCTTCAGTTATATATAGTGTATTATGTATGTGGATATAGGGTTAGGATGTAAAAAATATATCTACTGTGGGTCTCTGTAAAAAATAAAAGATTGGAAAAATGCTGCCTAGAGCTTCTTCAAAGCCATGCATACCTTTGTCATCAGCTTTTCTACTTGGCTACCTTTGGATGGCCAACAGCCAAGATATACAATGCAATGAACCACTGAAATGCTTTATTTGTATTTCATACAGTACCTTTTTTTGTACACTTTATCTTTAAATGCTTTATTTTAAACTTTCTTGCCCAGCATAGGGCAATTTTAATACTCCATTTGAAATGGAATATTGTGACCAAGTCCTCCAAGTATGGTGTTTCTTCTTGAAAAGCCTCTATTCTCCCAATGAGTTACTCTAAATATAAATCACTCTCTTGATATCATCTACATGCCACTTACCCTTGCATTTCTGACTGACTAGGAACTAGAGATTATAGTAACCAATAACAAAGCCTTTCACATAGAACTCACTACTTGTCCACAGTATTTCAAATTAGTTTTCTCATTTTATTAATACTTAGCAACAGTGTAAATAGCATGCCTTCTATCTAGCATCCAAAGGAACACTTCAAATATTGACTGTACCTTAAAATACAAGATGAATTTTCTAATATCATAAGATTTGAAAAGATTCACACAACAGCTAAATATTTCAAAGTAAAGCATGATAATAATAAGCTATATTTGCTTTCTGAGATTGACTTTAAAATCTCATGAACAAACAAGTCTAATCAACTAGATCCCATCTCTTCCATATTCTATTCACAAAAACTAAATACAGAAAAGAAAAATATATATATACACATATATACCTTCACTGTCCTTGAATTTCTTGATTGCCACAATTTCATGCGTTTCCTGCAAAGGAAAAAAGGCAGAAAGTCAGTCATTCTCCAGTGTGTTTCAAAAGGAAATCCCAGTTGTCTCAGGTATATTCTGGGACAGAGCAGCAAGAAGCCAGAGAATAAGTAAATATTTCTTTACAGGTGTATGTACACGTCAAAATACATCAAGCTGAACACTAAGATTCAAGCATTTTATGTATGTACCTCATTTTTAAAAAACACAAAAACCTAGATCCTCCTCTTCCCCAGCCCCTCATTTCTTGGTTCCAAAATCCTCTTTTTTACCACACTGTAGGCCTTGTCAGGAAGGAAAAGGAGAAGAGCGAGAGGTGAAGGACCAAGAGCAGAGACCGTGAGAATCCATGGATGAACCAGGGTGGCAATGTCCTGACGCTACCCAAGGGGCCAGGAGGCCTCACAACATACCGCCATCTGTATTTGGCACTGAAACTAAGGCACACATTTCACTTGGGCTTCTAAGACCAGAGAAAAGGCTTCTACAATACTTGGTAGTTGCTGGTAGCAGAATACCTCTTCCAAGTGTCCTCCCTTCACTTACCTTTTCCTAACAAAACTAGTTGTTCAAGAGCACTTCCCTATTTTGAATCCAAAGTGGTATACTACACATTTGCCACCGCTACCAATCACCACCTCCCCTGCCCTAATTATTTAGCTCTCCTCAACTAACGGAAGGAATGTGTGTGCAGAACCCTACTTTCAAACGACACATCACAAATATTTTTTCTTTTTTGGTTGGAGGAGAAGAAAATAAGGGCTGGAAAGAAAATGGAAATGCTAAGAACTAAGTACCACTAGGCTAAATAACTCGTGTCCAAATTCTGGTCTATAAAAGGAATAAAAAAGCTTTTAATAAAATAATACATAGATTCTTCAGAGCTAACATGTCTTATAGAAAGGTCTTCTGAATGACCCAGTCTGCTCTTTTCTACTCTAAATGGCTACACTTTAAGATCTGCAGGTGCAAATCTTTTTATAGAAGATTGTCCCCGTATCCAAACAAAGGTTTAAAGAATGGACACAATACCAGGCAATAACCAATAGGGTACAGATCATTAACTTAATAAAAATACACGCTTTTCTTTCATTCTTTACAAAAGCAAAGGGGATCATGAAAGCAGAAAAAGAAAAGAAAAAAGTAACCATTTTAATCATTACGCTGAAAGCCAAACCCTGAGTCATAACTATGTGTATAAATCAAATGCTTTCTGCTTCCCATCCACCTGTTAAAGAAAAAACAAGCTTTCATATTTGTGTTATAGGAAAAAATGTTATCTGAAAGTGCTAGAGGCTACTGAGGAAAAAGATGCTTCTTCAAGGTACTATGTTTTTGTTTTTAATGGAGGAACAGATAGAACTGCAGAGTGCTGACAGCTTTTGAGACACAATTTCTTTGTACTCAGCCTTCCAGATTCTTTCTGATACTGTAAGTGTTTCATCATCGGGAAGAACAACTGCATATTCAAAGTGATGCGGGGGTGGGCAGCTAGAATATTAGTGCAGGTAGTGCTAGTAACTCACTTCCTACACTGATAGCACTGTCTTACCCAGCTCTTTTCAAATAGCCCTAGCTAGCCACCTCCCTAGCAGCACAAGGGGAAGAACAAACCCTATCAGGAAACTGCTCACAGCACAAAGAAAAGGGCGCCGTGATACACTCCTTAGATGAGAGTAAAGCTGCTCACACTGCATCCGAGAGCTGTTCTGGGTTGCATTTCTTTTTTTTTAATTGAAATATCATTGATATACAATCTTATATTGGTTTCGAATACACAACATAGTGGTTCAACAGATACCCACATTATTAAATCCTCACCCCTACTCTATTAGTGTGGTTACTATCTTGTCAACACAGACGTTACAGAATCATCAGCTATATTCTCCATGCTGTACTAATATTCCTGTGACCAACTTATATTATGGAGATTTTTGTGCCCCTTTATCCCCCTCCCCTCAACCACTCCCCCATGGTAACCACTAGTCACTTCTCAGTGTCAATGAGTCTACTGCTATTTTGTTCATTCTGTTGTTCTGATTCTTGATGTTTAATTTTTAGATTCCACAAATAAGTGAAATCATTTGGTACTTGTCCTTTTCTGCCTGGCTTATTTCACTAAGCATAATACCCTCTAGGTCCATCCACATTATTGCAAATGGCAGGACTTATTTTATGGCTGGGTAATATTCCACTGTGTATATGTACATCATCTTTATGTTCCAGGTTGTATTTCATCCTATGTTGCACTCTAAACAGAGTTCCATGCACATTTTTTTATTCCATCCTAAGTATTAACTTTATCTCACTTTATAAAAGGTCTTGCTTCGTTCAAACTTGCCCACTGATATGGCAACAAGGGCAGAACGAGGCACCCGAGACTGATATGAATTCCTGGCAAACACTCTTCTCACTGGCTGGCTGGTCTGAGGTTGATCACGTGGTCTGGGGTTGACCCTCAGTTGTCTGAGAAAGCTGTTTGCTGAGCCCACTCTTTCTGGTACATCCTGCTCCTATGACTCTATGTTCACTTCATCTTACCAAGGGGTGGGTGGAGGGGGTCTGTGAATCCTAGGATGCAACATACCGCTTCCAATCCTTCTCTATTTCTTGCCTTACTGTATTTGGGGAGTTTAGTCTTTGAAAAGATCTGGCACTACAGGTGCTGATGTGGGCTAGTAGAGAACTCCAGCTCCCACGGGGCCAAATGACAGTTACCCTCATGAGATGGCTGCCCATTTCCAGCCCCTTGGGGCCCTGGCTCCAAGCTTCGTCCTACTCCCTTTGGGTAGTTTGCCCTATCCCCGTTCAGAAAGTAGAATACATAGCATGGTGTTCAAGGCTGCATTTTTCAGTCCATCTCCCTGCACCTTGCCAATGATCTAAGGTCAACATTTAATTTATTAATTTACAGAACTTCGTGAGTTTTGTTTTTAAATATCTTCATGGTATTTAATGGAGAGGGAGGGGGTGATACACCAACTTTTATTACTTATACTACCACCACCCTGGATGCTACACATAATATAGGTGCAGACAAAGAATAAAAATATACGAAAAATAACTGAAGAACTGTGTTTTAAATTCAATTTATTCACAAAAGCATTGCCCCCACACTGTCTGCAACAGAATGTTACCAGCTGTAGTGAGCATGACAGGCATAATTTGCTACTTGTTTCAGTCTTACTTTGTTTAAACAATGAGCTAGTTAAAAGCTGATGTTTTAAACAACAAAGGATGTGATAAAATATATAAGTAAACCATTAATGGTAATTCCATATCACACCCTTAATTTTGCCTCAAAACTGGAATTATATTACCTTGGAATGCAAAAAGATAGAGGTTCCTGAATTTACTGCTATCTCAATGAGTGAACAAGCTATCAAAGCATTTAAGATTTTCTAGAATAATCTCCTCAGCTAAAAAAAAATTAGAAAGCACATGAAAAGTAAATTTTATGAGTAGTGACAAATTGAAAAAACCTGACGGGCCTATGTTTCTTCCACTATCTCAAGATTTCCACCCCATACAAATCACGCCTTAATCACCAAACAAACTTACTGGACACAGAATTATAACCAAAATTCACTCCTCCTACTGACTGTTTAAAGCTCATGAGTCATTGGTTTATTCCAGAATCAACTGTCCCGTCTGAAGATGTTAGTAAAGCAACCAATCAATATTAACAATCATAAAACGTACTAAATTATTTTAAATGCAGCCATATAGCTTGATTTATTTATGTTCTGGAACAAGGAATTCTCTAAACCAATCATACTATATGAGGAAGTAGCAGGAGCCACTATTTTAAATATTTTGCTCTGTTATTTAAAATATCCAACATACATTATGAAACAGAACAGAAAAAATATTGACTTTATTGTACTCCAGTATTCATGGATTGAACCATTCCAAAGGTTATATTATACTCTACAATTCATTCTCTAATTACCCTCTGAGGAAGCCCTTCCTTGGGAGAAATTCTTTACTTCTTCATCCAAATAGCAGGAAACACAACTTGACAGCTAAAGCATTTTACAATATTTCAATCCCATTTTGTATGCAAATATCCCAACTGTCTTGAGTGTTTTCGCACACTGACACGCTCCTTTAGCTAAAACAAAACCCTACACAGACACTATTACCTTAAGGACCGATATGGTACCTGAAAAAGGAAGCTTTATTTTAGATTATTAAATACTTTTGTGCCAGGCCCTGTGCTAAGCGCTTCTCATGTATTATCTCGTTTAATCCTCAAATCAACACTCTGAGGTGAATCTTACCATCATACTCATTTTAACAGATGAGGATATACTGAGTTTTAATGAGGTTATTTAATTTCCCCAAGATTACATAGCTAAAATTTTAAACCCAGGGAAGACTGGTTCTGGAGGCCATTTCTCATCCAAGGCCCTACTATCCTGCCTTTGCAAGCCATGTACATAAGCTTTGTTGTTAAAAAGGATATATTCTGAAACACCTATATACATACCACCAGAGAGGCCATCATTATTTCTATGTTCTTCTAAAAAATATATTTAGCACCAACAAAAATTTTATAATTTTCTAATAATGTCTGCTATAATATTTATAGACCTAAAAGTATGTGCAAATATTTCATTATTTTCATCTCTATCTTTATTCTTATTTCATAGAAACCTTCTAAAATAACTTTGACAACTACAGTTATTTTTACTCTATAAACAAAACTATAAAATGTGAGTAAATTCAAGCATGGCACACATTCCACTTAGACAGATACAATGGAGCTAATATGTGTTTGCCAACTACATTAGAAACACAAAATATTACCCAAGATATGCAGTGATAAGAACTGTACTGTTTTCCAAGAAATCCCTTAGAAATGTTTACTTCTGTAATTTATTTATTACTTATAAACTACCACAGTTTGCCAATACTGAAAGTTAGACTAACTAAATTTAAGTATTTCAGGCCAAATCAACAAGGAAAACAAACTATAGCAAAGAAGAGGAGCATTT